AAGTGGTTGCGCTAAGTGTACTCCCGCCTTTACGATTAGCGGGTGTCGCGTTCGATTTTTGAATCGCGTTCCATTTTTCAAATAGTGAATTGTGATAGGCAAATGTTCTTTACCGTTATGGAATGTAAAAAGATTAGAGATACAAAATAAAATAATTTTAATTTATAAACATTGCCCTATCCAGTGCACAAGTCAAAAAGTAAAAATGAAGGAACGAATGGAACCAAAAAAAAAAAACAAAAAGTAAAAATACCAAGTTAGTATAAATGCTATGTTTTGTAATGATTATTTTTTAACTATAGGACTAACAATAAGCACATCAAAATAAATGTGGACATCTTAACGTTCGTATCAGTAGAAAATTAAGTAATGTAAGTTCTAAAAATCTAAAATTAATTTAAGAATCAGAGGTGAAAAATGGGGAGGGATGGGACAGAGTGTCAGAACTTATGCTCTTTGGTCAGAACCATCGAACTTTATTCCTCAAAAGTAATTTTCTTTTTTTAAACGCGACTGCAACACGAACTGAGTAAAATGTCCAAAGTTAACAAATGGCGGGTTAAACGGTTTTCGCGCCATGACGACTCATTCGGCGCTGTCAAGCAGGAAAGTTGCCGATTTCATTTGTTTCAATTAATGGTGATTGATGAACGACGGGTTCACTCGCGTCAGTTTTGGACAAACACGCATTTTGTTATATATGGTTTTTAATTATGCGTGAACGAGTTATACAAATTGAGTTATCTTTGGGTGTCATTGTCAAGAAAGGTCTTTGTGGAGCCCTTAATGATACAGACTAATAGTTCTCCCTAACGCCACCTGAAGACAAAGTATTCTTAGTACTGCAGTTAGATAGCACATTTTCCAAAAAAAAAAATCCTTTATTTTTGTAAAGAAAGAGAACTGCGTTCAAAGATTTCTCTCAATCTTAAAAAGGGATGTTTTCTTTGAGTAAAATTTTCTATCAACAGTATTAAGTGAGAGTATTTTCCCTTCATGTGGCAGTGCATTTCACCTTGTATAGCTTGCTTTGCCATCGTCCCTACATAAAGGCTGTACGTACGTCCTATTAAGCCCCAGATCGGCGTAGGAATAAAATAATTAAAGATCTAATTAATTAATTTGAGATGCAACTCTTAACGGTACATTTTTTAAATTAAATTAAATAAATATCTAGTTAGGCATTTTTGATTTTATATTTCTTAAACTACATGTTGAAATAAAGGGGCAAATCTGAAATAATCCGCTGGTCCCCTTAGATAGTGATCGTTTTGTTTGTTTCCACCATAATTTGTCGCTTCCACTCCAGCCTCAGGGGACTGAGCATTAGGCTACTAGGTATGGAAACAGCTCTATGTTTATCCAATGAAAATTAATATGAGTTAACAAAAGTTGTTGTCAAAAATTCTACGCCTAATACAATTGCAGTCACTGAATGTCTAAGTGATAATAAAATCTAAAATCAATCAAAATCAAAATTATTTTATTCAATTTAGACCACTAGTGGCACTTATGTACGTCAAAATATAGTAAATAAAAAAAGGTAGCCCTTATGGGGCAGTTTACATGTCTCCTTATCTTTTGAGCCCTACCAGCGCTTCGAGACAAACATAAATGGCAAGTGCTGAGAAGAAATAACAAAAGAATTTAAAAAAGAAAGGGCAGATTTTTAAAACATGTCAAACGCATGAAATACACCTCTAGTGTAAGGGTTAGTTGGAGAGATGTAATTCTTCAATCCGGATATCTTGAGTTAGGATTCCAGGATAGAAACAAAAGTAGTAAAAGTTAGTACTAAAAAAAAGAGATTCGAGCAGATTAAACATATTATAAAAACTAGGTATTAGTACTAATAGCTAGTTAAGCTAGTGCTTTGAAATCTGCATTAACATGTTGGTTCTATCATGTATAATAAATTAAGGTTATAAAAGCCAATGTGACATTTAAAAGTGGTAAGAGTTCTATTGTTAACATAAGCCTTTTCCTTACTTTTCCATCACCTCTAAAACACAGGTTGTTAATATCGACCCGCACTCATAGATTATTGGCTCACGCACGACCCTACAGATCAATGCTGCCAAAGCAAAAACACAAACATTAAGACATAAATCCAATTTGGAGGTACCAACATTCAAGATATGCTCGTTTACGTTATTTATGGCCAGGACTGCAGTTTTTGTTGTAATAAAACTCTTTCGAAAAAAATAGTGTATTTTTATATGATTTCAGCACGCAATGTGACAAACCGTGATTTATTATTTTCGGTGAAATTAAAAAGTTATCGGTTTTCACCTGTTTAATGATTATAAATTGGTATTTTACATTGTATCCATATTGATATACCTAGATGCAGTATTTTTTTACTTTAATTAATTTTAATATTTAAAGTTTATAGCAGTAAGTATAGGTACCTATTTATCTGGTAAAAAACATCACAAAACACATATCCTTATCGAATTAATTTAAACGATCATTATTAAAAACCCATCGATCAATATTAAAAACTCTATCATTTTTTTCAGTTGCTAGAACTTACACATTTTTACAACTCTATGATTTGAAAAGAAAAGTTTTTTCTACATAATTATTATGGTTGCTTTGTACATAGTCAGGCCTATCAGCCGATGTGATGTAAGTATACAAAATTTATAATAAGTACAATAAAATATTTTGTCCATTGTCCTGCGCTCTGGATGAAACAAAATTGTAACTATTGTATGAAGGGATACAAATGACGGCACATGAAATCAATCACTGCACCGTCTTATGTCCTTTGTAATAGGATCTATTTTACAACGATTATGAGTAGCTTGACGTGATGTTACATTTATAGGCCTGGATCTATCGATCAATTTGATGGATCAGCGCGTGAGGTGAAAGTGTAGAGTGTAGACCATTGTCATAACACAAAAGTATGATACCGTTTTGAAGAAAATAGTTATTTTTAACTGACTTGAAAAAGGAGGAGGTATTGAAGTTGTAGTTTTTGTACTTAATTTTATTATTGCTTTGTTATTTTGTTTGATAACCGCTAGGATTATGAATATGGATGATTTAAAAAGTGAGCAATTGTCGCCGAATAGGACAAATAGAATATTTAAATCGGTATTTTTAACAAGTACCTAGTACTTTTGGTATCTATAAAGCCATAAATGCTGTAGAACCGTAAATTGCTTTTATATTTGCTTGATAATATCTAATGCAATTAAATCCTAATAACATTATAAATGCGAAAGTTTGGATGTCTAGATGTTTGTTACTCTTTCAAGCAAAAGCTACTGAACGGATTTATGATGTAACTTTACAGTAGGTATTATTGTTTATAACCCAGAATAACATATAATATAGACTATAATTTATCACGACTTGTGATAAACTGAATTTCACGCGGGTGAAGCCGCGGGCAACAGCTAGTTTTTAATACAAAATTTAATGAGACCCCTCATTAAGGAGATAATTTAAAATATTTTTTATAAATAGATCCTTTGTTTTTAAATTTTATTTTATAAGTATAAATTAAACACGTATCAAGAACAAAAGTCCACCTAATTTTGTTTATTATCGCACCATTTTTGTATAACTTTGCTTGGCCGCGCCGACGCGTGCTGAACAGGTTGCGATGAAATCCAGTTTGTTTATAATACCAAATATGCCCTGGTTTCCGCATGTGAAATGTTTATAATTGTTATGGAAAAATTGGATCATCGAAGCTTAGGTATAACAATATTTTGACAATAACTTGGATTAGTTAGGTTAAATGTAGAGACGGTTAGTTTTTTTATTTTGCGCCTACAATACACCACAATTTAGTTTAATTTAATTTAGTCAAGTTTCTTGTACTGTTTATTTATAACACGAATTAGTGATAAAAAGGTTTTATTGGGATCTGTAAAAGAGCTCTCAAAAGGACAAACATACTGAGAATAACACTTTTTATGTAACATAATACAGAACTAAAAAATAATGAAGAAGAAAAAAAATGAATTTAGTAATAGAGTAGAATACTTCTATTTTTAAAGTTAAAAAGTTTATGATGATATTTATAATACTGATCTATTAGTTTATCTTTATGACAACGTTTTTAAACACACTACACTATAGTTAATCGACGATGCCTTTAAAAGCTCCAAAGCTTGCATAAATCCTCTCTAAATCGTTTTCCATGACAATAATTGCTTTTATGTTTTAATACGAGCTTCTAACATAGCGCGGTTATAGCGAACCATGCTACAAGAATTTATGGGTCAGTTTAATGATTAAACTCTGTTTAACGGGAGTTTAAGCGACGTTCAATCAAAGGTCAACTCGTTTGAAATATTTTAACTTTTCTTGGGATGTCTCGTTATTTATAAATACAAATTATTGATGAAGAAGTAAAATGCATTCATATTAATTCAGTCGTAACTTACTAACTTAGTCATATTTTTTCAATTATGTAAATACAGGTAAATTTAAATGAGTACAATATGACTTGAATTTGTATCTAAATCAATATTGTTAGTGTCAGGTATGAGATCATTTAAAGCAGAGGTGCGTGTTGTGGGGAGATTTTGATTTTCAAAGCGTTTCGGCTTCTAGACACGATTAAAACGACTTAAATAAAACCTAGGCTCTGCGATCCTAGACTCTACCACAAATTTCCCTAGTTACCTAAGGTTTAAAGGTCATCAGTAGTTGTGGAAAATTATGCTGAACTATTCATAATTATTGTCCTAAAAGTTGTAGGTAGGTATCATCATTTCCAATTGTCATTCAGGGGCATTCATATCTGGCTCTAAAGGGGAAATTCTTGTTAATTTTTTTTTATGTCACAGTAGGCAAACGAGCAGGTTGGACCACGTGTTCAGAGGGACACGGATCACCTGATGGTAAGTGATTACCATCGCCCATAGACACCCGCAGACCCAGGGGCGTTACAGGTGCGTTGCCGGCCTTTAAGGTGAAGATACGCTCTCCTCAAATATCAGCTTATAATAAAAATATATTTCTATGATACTTACATTTGCGTACTGGAAGCCGCAGGCGTCCATGCACAGGTACATACACGTGGCTACCCCCTGGATCGTCAGGAGGCCGACTTTGTACGTCGCCCGCTGAAGTATTGCTGGAACAAACGAAAAACACACATTAGATAAGTGTTTAACGTAAGTACAGACACTAGAAAATAGGAAATTTTTGAGGTATAATGAAAAATACCCTCGCTACCACTGTACCTTTCTGTTATACAATAAGTAGTTCTTGTAGTAACGTAAACATCCAAGCTATTTTTTTTGAGTAAGGTAGATAAGGTGTAGAGCTTGTGAAGTTAGGGCTTAGGTTAGAGTTAGGACGTGTAGATTTAGATGGCTCTACATGAGATTTGACAGTTTTTTGACAGTACGATAGGCTCTTACCTATATGAGATCAGTGTGCCTACCATGAGTTTACGTTAGGTGTGCTCGCTAGCGACTGCGTAAAAAAATGACATTTAAATGTATGACATATTGTGCAGCGCCCCTAGCGGCTACTTTGAAGAAATAAAATCTTCATAGAATTTTTTGACGTATTCGCTAGCGAGCTCACCTAACGTAAACTCATGGTAGGCACACTGATTTTTTGACAGTGCGAGCCATTATGGCCGAGTCTTGGCAACATTTTTCATGAAAATATTGCCATGTCGGGACCATTATGTTATTTTATTACAAATAGGTACTTAGTAGCTTTTATATTATTTGAAAAGCACTACAGCAAACCATATTTCCTCTCAGCAGTCTTAAATTAAATAAACAAATACTAAACTGGAAGTAATTAGGTTAAATACATACCATTTCAACGACTATAAAATTCACGGTTAAACTGAATATTAATTAAAATCATCCTAACCCAAATTGAATAACCTACTAAGCTTTAATAAAAGCCACAAAGTTGTCTCGGAGCAAAAGCTATGTTCAAAATAATTTATTTTATACAACAATCCCAAACATTGTAAAGCTGTGGAATGGTAAAATACATTATTTACCTAAAATCTTGTTTAATAAATTATTATAATACTCTAGCTGTGCCCGTTTTCATCATCAATCCCTAATTTAAGTGACCCTATGATAACAAAATTCCTATTATGTGGTACCACAGGGGTCACTTAAAATTTAGGGATTGATGATGAAAACGGGCATAGGTAAACTAAAATTATTTTTTGTTATTTAACAATATTTTGTTAGCTGATTTTGCTGTCAACCATGTAACAAACGTGAGCGGATCAAGCTACATTGTGTTCGCAATTATATAGTTTCTATTTTGCAACAAAAATGTAGAGTCTGTTATGCTTTTGACTATAGGTACCAAGTACGTTCTTTAAACATAACAAATTCCCATAAAGTCGTTCCTTTGAGTACGACCCATTACATTCTAACCCTGAGAAAACAAGACATAAAGTTATCTTAGAACGAGATGTCATACAAATCACAGCTAGGAGCTTTCGCCATGTACGGCCGCGCATGCGCGAAAATGGCGTCAAAAGACGGTTTAGGGAACACCGTTAGGTGCCTTTGAATTGCTCTTGTAAATACATTTGCTTTTAAATTACCATGTAAGTTTTCCCACATACATTTTCATTCCATTTTTGGTAAGAAGTTATCAAAAAATTAGGTAAAACATGAAAAGCTGAACTTTTAAAAATCTCTTAGGTACTGTTGCTGTATGGGATTTATTCCAATCCATTTTTGGCAAGAACTTATCATACAATTGAAACATCAAAAGAGTCGACTTCAAGCTCTATAGTTGTAACTTAAAAAAAGTTTCTTACTTAAAATTGAAGTTTTATAAAGTTTATGGTAGAAGTAGCTACGCAAATTAGATAGGTACCAAACAACTTAATTAATATAAACAACATTATTTAAACTTCATGCTCTATTTAACTGCTCAATTATAATACTAAAGTGTTCTATCAAATGAATTAACAATTCAAAACATAACAGCCACAACCCAAATGCTCACGACTCCTGCCACAAACAATTTAATTGTGTTCGTATAAATCAAGCAATTCAACGAGAAATAAAACAAACTGACAGGATTACAATTAATAAGCCGTTTTGGCAGTTATAAAGAGGTTTAGCGAATCTCAGGTGAGATCTGCGCACGCCTATGCTTGGTGTACAGGGTGCTTTTAATTGTATGATGTATTTAATTTGACAGCAGTAAGCGTCGGTCATGTAAACGGCTGCCAAATCGTAAGTCATGATGGTTGTTAATATTATTAACGCTGGAAACTTTTTCGACTGATGTGTTAACGAAATGCTTCATGTCACCCATATGACATGTAAGGAGCAGTATGTTTCTTACAATAAATAAATAAAAAAACCTTATTAAGATAATTAAATACTGTTTGTCGTTTGTCGCAAGGAATAACTCTCTGTGCTTTCTTGTGGCATCCACGTGATACACCCATTACTGATTGGTATTATACAGTTAAAAAGATGAGACCTTTGATTGGCGTTATAAAGTTTTTTTTGTAGCAAGATTTTTAAGAATTTAATTTAATATTAGAACAGCAATAGGCATACTTGTATTTAGCTGCTAATTTTGATCTAACTTACATACTATAAATCTACTTGACGACATAAATCGCAAACCACCTCCGTATCTTACGACCACGCTGTATCTTACGCGCACGTCCCCAATAATCATTTATTAGTAATTAATAGGCAGGATCCCAGCACTATCGGCCGGCCCAGGTCCAGACTAATTAACAGATAAACTAAACGCTGTCGAGATTCTGCAGGGGCTAGCTACTTAGTCCTAAGCATTCAGGATGGTCAGCAAAATAAAACAATTTTCACCACAGGCCATTATTTTGGAGGACCATTAAAAGCGACTGCATGCAGGAGGATTTAATTAATGCTGCTGACAACAATCAATCAATCAATCAATCATTTATTGTCTTAGTTATAGGTATTACAATAACACAGATCTTAAATCTTGTAAAAGAGTTTTGGACTGACACTGTGTAGGTTTTTTATCGACACGATAAGAAGATTAATAGGCGACCTACTTAAAGACAAATGGAGGATTTGGTTCACACTCTCCACGATGGCCAGAGGAGTTGAGGAGGCTTAATATTCTGCATAATGTTTTGTCCCTTGGTTGTCTCTTATTGACATACACGGAAAGAGTGAGAGTGGTTACTACTACTCACAGTACCTCTAGTACGAAAAACTTTCGAGTTCGTTTCGTTGCGTATTCAAAGTGTCATCGAAAAATTTTGTATGAAAAATTAAACAGCGCCCCCTAGGGCGGCTATAATATAGGGGGCGCTGTTTAATTTTTCATACAAAATTTTTCGATGACACTTTGAATACGCAACGAAACGAACTCGAAAGTTTTTCCTACTAGAGGTACAGAATAGAATCAGCATCATAATCATCATAATTTTAGACACAGGACGTCCACTGCTGAACATAGACCTCCCCCAATGACTTCGCACGGCTGGTAGCGACCTGTAGCGACCTGCATCCAGCGCCTTCTTGCTACCTTTATGAGGTTGTCGGTCCACCGGTCGACCAGAATTCAATAGATTAAGGTATGTTCTGTGCCTCTCACTCAGTGAGTCCAAACCCTAAATAAATTGTATAAATATTTTTTGTTTGTTTTGCTGTCCGTACCAAGCTGCGCGCACGCACCATTTTGACCTCACGGTCATATACTACGTTGTAATTGCCATTTGTTCGACTTCTTTGCATATTATTGGAGTAAATTGTCATAGCTCGGAGATAATCGACCATCATTATACATATTAATTGCATTTACGGTAAATTCAATTTCTAAGCCATCTAATAATTTTATGGGCTAGAGATGGTTTGTAGATTAACTGGCAAGATATATTTTAGTAGATTATTTCTAATATTAAAGAAGAGGAGAAACAGAACGGAATGTAACTAAAATAATCTTAATTTTCTTTCCCACCACTTTGAGATCTAGGTTAAACAAGTCTCCAATAAAATTATGTAAATATGAAGTCTTGCAATATTTTTATGTAGTAATAAAGTCCACAGTATAAAGTTAACTTTGTAGTCTTACAGCCGGCGCCTGAGGATACGCAAGATGCTCGTGCGCAGGACTTACGCGATCGGTGTAGGGTGACCATAATGCAGGTATGGGACAATTTACTGCTAACATTGCAGCTGTGAGAGCTATTAAAGCTTGACCGCCAATAAAATCCAACCAGTGAAGGTCAAGTTTATCTCAAGGAAAAGTTAATGTATCATTGGACCATAAAATTAATCAGAAGAACATAGGAGGAGTTCGAAGTTAAGATTCAACTCCTCCAGTGCAAAGCGGATGACAGATGACATACAAAGGTTGGGTAAGAATCAAATAAATAAATGGCTTTTCAGCCGATTATTGATCTAGCATCATGACAAGCTTTGATGGTAGATACCTTGTTTAGTGTAAAGGAGGACGATAGGTTCCATCACATCCGCAACTGTGAGCAGAATGCAGCAAGAATGCAGGTTATCTAGCACTTCCCTTATCACTGTTCTAAATCGTAGCATCCTGATATATACAGAGGTGGGAATCTATTCGATTCTGTCTCTTTCTTACAGAAGGGTGTGGAGTGAGTAGTAAACTCTGATCATCAAAGAATGCAGTTTATCTAGCACTTCCGTAATCATCGTCATGATACGAAGCATCCTGATCCTGCCAGGTCTACTTTGGGAATCTATTCGACTCTGTCACTTTCTTTCAGAAGGATGTAGAGTGAGATAGCATATTGAAAGTGTTTCGCACAGTAGACCCAGCTCGATAGTGATAAGTTAATGGTAATACCCACAGAAAGCTATCTCTTAATAGAGAGATTATAACTAATTTACAACAGCTCCGCTAATCACTTCCTTGCTTTAACGATATCCCAATCTTCCTTTCAATATTGTCCCGCGTCCGCGGTATAGTGTTGTACCCTAGTCGATAAGGAGGTATCGATACTAGCGCTAATTCTAGTTAAAAAGCTGTGAATGAAGCGGCTTGTGCAATTTGCCGATCCGACGGTGAGTGGCCGACAGTAATGAGAGGCTTGACGTTAATAGTGATGTTACAGTGTCGATAAAATTGTGGTTACTAGTCGGT